ATTTGCTTGAAAATTGAAAACCATCTGTACATCAGCATGTTTTTTTCCTTTTTATTCACTTATGCAATATTGAATTCAATTACTAAACCCACAGTAGCTTCCGTCAGCCAAACCACGATTGCAAGAAATTTATTCTGACTGCAAATATGCAAAAACGATTTCTATACCTCTAATACATCTTATGGTACTACAAAATTTTATCACAAAATTATCATCATCAACATTCACGTGTTTTTGACCTTTTATCATTTCCCCTACGTGACGCCGTATATTTCATGGTTGACAGCATGCTACTTGCTGAGACTTCCTGTGAACTGTCTGAACTTGATAATGGAAAATAGAAGCCAATGATTACTGTCTAATGGATTTGTTAATCTAAAAAAAAAGATTACCTTTACTACTGGAGTTTCTTTTACATTTTACAGCTGACTTTTACATTTTAGTAATTTGAGTTTGTCTATGTTTTGATTGTAAAAGTCAGTCGTCAATTGTAAAAGTAAGTCTCTTCATAAATCTCCACTTGGAATATTTAGGAAAAATAATGAGAATGTTTATTTGATACAACAGATATCGGAGAATCGAGGGGGTATCTCTCTCTCTCTCTCTCTCTCTCGTACATTTCTCTGTTCAATAAAAACTATGACAGCACATTACTTATTTAAGTTTTGAAAATTTAATCTATTACAAATAATTTGAATGCCTCTTTCCAACATCTTGACCGAGTATAATCACGGCCGGGGAATGTCTACAGATACAATGACAATGACAATGATTTATTCTCTTAAATGTACAAACATACATTGTAGAGAGGAGGTAGGAAAATGTACAAACACACACAAAAAATAAAAAACATGCATTATAAACAGTACAAAGTATCATGTTCAAGCTTATGTAAATTATTTTCATCTATAATTTGTTTGACAATCAATAAAAAATTACATAATTTTTTCAATGCTGAACAATTTGTTGTTGTAAAATGTTGCTTAAAGAGCAAGAGCCATCTTATGCATAAAATGGCCCTGTACTTATATCAATTATTAAACTATCACCCTCTTACCATTTTCATATATCAAAATAAAGTTGACACTTGGTGCCTTCATGTTCTATAATGAAATTTTGTTTTGAGAATCCAAATATTTAAAAACAGGCTTTGAGAAATTGCAATGTTCTTGAAATTCGCAGAAAATATGCGTATTTGACTACTTTCAACAAAGAATTAAAATATGAGCACAGTCCATGATCCAAAAAATAAAACATGTTTTTTGATCTTCAGAAATAGACCTTTCATTATGTATTGGCATATTTTGGATCAGAGGTTGTGCTCTATATGAAATATTGAAAAAACGCTTCAACTTTAGGTCATTTTCAAAGGAATTTACAGGATATGAGGAAAATGACGCATTTTATGACGTCATAATGCCTTGATTAGATGTGAAATTATGTCACAATTAATAGATACATAGTCACCAACAGTCCAAGTGATAAATACTGCATTTGCAACCTAAACTGAGCGGTTTTGAATTTTCAGAAATTCTCAGTCCATATACAGTCCAAAGTGGCTCTACCTCTTTCTCTATATTTGGTCTACGTGTGAAAGAGTTTGAAATATATTTTAACCTAGCCTCTTTAATTTCTTTTTGTGTGCATTCAAAAACATAATGGAATTCATCACCAATCTTATAAAAAATCACATAAAGTACAAATTCTTTGTTCTCTTGGAATACCAAACCATCTCCCAGTTTCAATCGGGAGTTTAAAGTTGCTACATCTAAATTTACATAACAAAATTGAAAATTTTCTAGGTAAATTAACGAGATATCTTTCTGGTTCTAGTATTTCTTTATAAATACGATAATTTACACCCCTTGATGAGTTAAAAGCATTACTTTGCCAGTTTTGGATATTTTGGTCAACAAGTATTCTTTTTACTTCATTTTTACCCATGCTATATTGTACATTTGTTGTGTTGTCCATAAATAAGATAATCCACAATCATCTAAAATATTTTTAACATAGTTAACCCAAGGCAAATTATGCCTTGAAGCTAGAACATACATTTTTGTAGCAAATTTATCCATCGTTTGAGAAAAGTGTAGTTTTGCCCAAAAAGAAATCATTCTCACCTTAATATTAATGATAAGTGGAAATCTGCCAAGTTCCCCATACACCATGTAGTTTGGCGTTTTAGTGTTCAAACCTAGTATATATTTACAATATTTTAAGTGAAGTTTTTCGATTAAAGCATTTGTTGTAAATCCCCATATTTCACATCCATATAACAATACTGGTTGTACAATTCTGTCAAACAAATCTATCTGACAATCCATAGAAAGATTATGTTGTTTACATTTTGATATCACTCCATGCATAGCTTTTACAGATTTATTGTATTGTTCTTTTATATTTTGATTAAAAGAACTTGATTTTGAAAAATATATTCCTAAGTACTTATAACTATCAACAATCTGTAGACTTAAACCATCATATGTAAAATATAAATCTTGTTTTATTCGACCTCTTCCAAAAATCATTATTTTTGTTTTGTCAACATTCACTTTTAACCGCCATTTTATACAATATTCATGAAAACAATTCAACATATTTTGTAATGTCTCAGGGTTTTCAGCAAATAAAACAGTGTCATCAGCATACAACAGAGGAAAAAGCTTAATATACACATGAAATTCATTCTCAATCATTTCAGATATTTTCTCTAAACCAGTTATATCATTCATGGTGAGGAATGATTCTAAATCATTTAAATAGAGCGATAACAAAAAAGGGGATAAATTTTCACCCTGTCTTACACCAAGTTGACAAGGAAAAGTATCTGAAAGAACACCATTTACTCTAATTTTTGCCTTGATACCCTCATACATTTTCTTGATTATTCTAAAACATTTTCCATCTATATTACAATCAAATAGTTTTTTGTTCCAGAGTGAAGAAGTTAGCTAAAATAATTGTCTATACAATACGAAAGGCACATAAATATAGAATATTTTGCATTAGAATTTAGATAAAAGGAGAGTTTTTATGCAGTACGATAACAGTCAATGTCAACAGATAATTGTGAATTAAAAAAAATACGTTATTTTACTCAGAATCGCTTCGGCACGGAAATACATGTATGTTTGTTTCAACCGCGAACAATGTAATTTATTCATTCTATAAGTAGTAGTTTTATCCTCAGAAGTCCACATTATTTTAATGGTGAAAAGAATAAGCATATTTACTATATAAATAGATTAATTTTATATTTAATCTACACGAGTTCGGAAACAAATACACATGTTTTACGGCAATTAAAATCGTGTTATAAAAATATCCATTTAAAACATAGGTACATATACGTACAATACAAAAATGTATTTATCATTTATTTATTTATTTATTTATCTATCTATTGTTTTTCTTTATATCTAAGCACCTGAAATTAAAATCGTAGAATAATTTCAATGCCAGGAAAACATCGGAGGCATTCCGAATAAATCGTTTATCTTGCGTTCACCGTTCGTTCACTTTGTGCTCGCGTTCGCGCTCCGTTCGCGTTCTGCGTTCACTCACTGTTCACCGTTCACACATCGTTCACCAAGTTGCGTTCAGCGTTCGCACATCGTTCACCCACCGTTCGCTCTGCGTTCGTTCACTGTTCGTTCAGCGTTCGTTCACCGTTCAGGTGGGAAAGTAGAACGTTTCAGGGGCTGTATAGCGGGGGATTATTTTCGCCTTGTACACAATCAATTGGATTTAAAAAAAAAGGACATGTGACTTCCAATAAGGTTGGAATAAACGACAATGGTACTGGTAAGACGAACAGGTATAGATTGGAATTAAATGTACCGGCAAAAGTATTTGTATCTTGCTTTTATTCTTATTCTACTTTCATCTTTGTTTTCATTTTAACTATATGTAGCTTTATTGTTTTCATTTTTGTCATTATTACATTTCACTTTGAACTTTTTTTCATTTTTTATTTTGCCCTTCCTTCAATGTTGCTTTATTCTTGTAAATTCGTTTAACTTTCTTTTAAATTGATAGATTTTCTTAAATAAATAATTAGGATAATCTCTATTACAAAGGTTAATTCAGTCACGCAAGCAATGGAGCATATTCAATGAAGACGAATACAAGTAGTGCAAATTTATTGCTTCATTATAACGCCTGGTGGCAGGGTGTTTGCTATGAGTGTAGGTAAAATTAGGCATGCAGACACGAGCCGGGTTTATTCGATACTTTTCAGTTTTTTTGCCTTAATATTTTATCAATCAAAGAGCTAGGTACATTAGTAGCAAAATTCCGCCCTGGTTCGAAAATCAAAAATAGTACACAATAAAATTAATCAGGATATGCACTTTATAAATATGTAAACATTTCTTATCCATCTTTTATAGTTAAGTAGCTACAGCCTCTGGAAGTTGGGATGTATAAACTAAGCATTTTGTCTTATTTTAGCATTATGACGTCATTATGACGTTACTGAACAAAAGGGAAAAAAAACAGCCACTGCATTGTTTTCAGAGAATGAAGAAACCATTATATATTTTTAAACAATGCATTGCTTGTTTTTTTTTACACGTGTAAAATTATGTTTACTAAATAAAATAAAAAAAATTACATGTTTTTACTTCAAGAAATGCATTTTCATAAAATTATCTTCATATTAGAACAAGCATTTCCTTTCATCAATCATTCCTCAGTGACCTCTGTCTCACTGTCACTCTCATCAATGGCCTCTGGGATGTGAGCTGCATCTTCGACTGAGTCCAACCAATTTTTGCTCATTTGTAAACTCACGTGTTCGTGTCTTGCAAAAGCCAAATACCAGATGACACTTGTTATATGGGCGCAGGCCCCTACTACTCTTGCACCTGAACTGCATCGACAGTACCACGATGTTACTGCGCCATCTGAATATCGTATCCAGCATTTATATTTGCTGCTTGATGTGTGCCTGCTCTGAAGCTTCGCAACCAGAAGGCCCGGTAATTGTTTGTCAATCCAGATTTCATATGTCCCATCTAGGTTAGTGTGTTCTTGAGAGTAATGCTTTGCCAGTTTCACTTGGTATACTCCAAGGGTTAGTTCTCGAACTTCGTCTTCGGTGAACCTAGGGAAGTCATCTAGATCTGTTGTTGCTTCATCTAACTTCACCCATCTGTGAGACTTTTTATCCAGTCCATTGGATTCAACTTCCTGTTACAAGAGATTGCTTTTTGATAGCAAATATCGCATTTTTGCAGCCATGTTAAGATCACTCTCTTCATTCCCAGTGCTAATAGGACATCTGTTTAACAGTGAAAAAGTTGACAGCTAAGCCAAACTACATGTAATTTTATTCTTTATGTGTGTTATTTCTGAATTAACAATGACTATAAATATCTATTTCATTATACTATATAAATCAGTCTCTTTAACATTTTTGCACATTGCTTGATTTTGAAAAAGCTTTTTGATAGGACGAATAAACATGTACCAGCATATAATTATACTTTTGTTCTAGAAACATTATATTTACCTACATTTATTACAAATGGCGCTGACTATTCTGACGTAGTCTCCAATATATGGAATTTGAGAATTCGGGAGCTGTTTTCCAAGGTATTTCCATGTTTTGATTCGTGCATTCACTGACTCAACTACCCATCGGATCTATTTTTGAAAATAGAATATACAAGTACTTAAACTTTGATCTATAAAATATATTTTCATTCCTTACAAATACTAAATTAGGGAAAGCATATATGCCCCCACTTCCTCTCACTTTTTCAATAAACTAGTAATTAAGAGAAAAATACCTTCGTTATAAGTCGGGAACTATTTGCTTCTTCGGTTGAATGCTGCTTTTGACCTTTCTTTAAGAAGGACGGCATTTCCATGTTGATTCCAAGCTCAGATAATACTCCAGCTGAGTCCCTGAAACCGCGGTCTACAATCAGAATGTCATCTTCCTTGATCCACGACTTTATCTCTTGAACATTTGTTGCAAGAATATGGTTCAGGATCTTGGCATCAGAGTTCTTGCCATCAGCCAAATAGGGCCCAATAGCTGCAATGATGTATCCAGTAGTGGAAACAATCATCATAGGTTTAAGAAGATGTCGATGTTTCTGCATGCTAAACGACCGCCGCTGTACATAGATGTTCCTTTTGTGAAATGTGAAGGACAACACCGGGCTCCACTTGGTATTAATATGTTATGCGACAAAAAGACTTTAAACCTAGCCTCCGCTGATACCACTATTAACTTTGGCCCTGGTTTCTTGCATAGAACGCAATAGGCATGACTCTTGACGGTGCTGTTAATTGGTAGAGTAACTGATGGTGGACTTTGAATGTTTGTTGCTCTTCTTTTGCTGACTGGGCTGCTAGGCATTGACACTGCAGCTGAAGAAGGAACTTGTATGTTTACTCCTGTGGAACAGGTAGCTGACTTCTTCTGCATAGATGAGCATTTATGTCTGCACTTGTTGCAGATGACTTTCCCACCCGTCCTATCTATCAAGAAACATCTATTCAGGGTTCTACTTATACGTTTGTTTACTGTCCTTCTTTCTTTTGCGTTAGTGCGTTTATTACATAGAACACATGGATACTGCTTTGGACCTTGGCCAGGCATCCTGCAAGAAGTAAAACAAATCTCTTGATAAATATGTACATTACCTAATTTTACTAGAAATTTAACAAGGTTAGACTAAATCTAGAACAAATCAAAAACAATACTCAATTACTTTTTTTTCTCGCGAAACACATTGTAGTGTGAAACTGAAAGGAAAGAATTACGTCCATAGAAATTTGAGTAAAAATTTTAACCACTCTCCCCTTTTCAAAAAAAAAAAAAAGAAAATATTAATTATCTATGTATCGATCTATTTAATTTTTAGTAAATGCTATTTTGTGTTTTTATTTGATAGTAAAAGTGTGCAAAAATACCCAGGTAATATTCTGATGTAATGCAGTTTAACCAAGGAAGAATTTATTATATTTACTAAAACATGTAACACAGGCACGTAGCATCGTTTTTGAAAGTGGGGGGGGCCAACCAAAGAAAATTTTTTTTTTAATTACCTGAAAAAGTTGACAGGCAAAATAAAAAAAAAAACAACGGAAAATTAAAAGTTGCCCTAACTCGAAAATGGGGGGGGGGGGGGGGGTTAGTGGCCAACTTTTCTTAAGCCAAATAACTTTCAATTCCAATTTTTTTTTCCCACCAATTCTTTAATATCACTATACTATGGTCAAAAAGTGCGGGGGCCAACTATCCCTTAAGGTAAAGATCCGTACCATCCTATAGAAATAACGGAACTACAGATTTTGTTGAAACTTTTCAGAATCTTAACTGAGGATTTGTCCTTTCCAGATCAGTGTAAATTTTGGGGTCAACCGGGCCTCCTTTTGAAAGGATTGTTACTAAAAATAGACATTGTCTCGTAAAATGACGGAAATGCGGAAATTAAGATATTTATTCTAGCTTTCTAAAATTAAAAGCAAAAGAATTTTCTTAACATATGAATCATAGAGAAAATATGCTTGTTTAAATGTTTAATTATTTTTTTAATCTGCTGATCCACCTAATATTACTTTCTAGGGCGAATTAAACATATTTAGCTCAAAATTATAAAGTTCATTACTAGTAAAAATAAATTGCTGCTTGATATTCTGACTACAGATTTCTTTTTAAAATTAACACGTTATTTTCCAATAGTCTCTCCCTTATATGGCATAAAAATTAAGTGGGGCAGCGGGCATCAAACAAGAAAATTTCATATTTTTAAACCAAATTTGCTGAAAAATGATAATTTGAAAAATCTTTTTAACATCTATACTTTTAGGATTTGGGTGTAAAAATCGCTTTAAATATTTGAAACTATCGATAATAGAACAGTAATAAGTATGGTTTAAATCATAAGTTGAATATTTAATGCATAGACGGCCAAAAATTCGTTTTCACGATTCACAAGCATAATAGTAATCGGGTTCAATCTTCGGAATATTCTATAAACCGTTAATGCGCATGTGTGACGTTGTGACGGAAGTGAAAGAAGAAAATACTTTCAGTTTCATGAACATGGGTAGTTTGGATGCGATTTAGTTGATTAAAAATTTAGAGAAGTGGCACGTTTTACTACTTTTTGTGTCTATGTAATACATTTCTCGCTATTCATAGATACAAATAAGTGGTTTGTTTGCCACATCTTTTTAACGTCTGGTTTCTGATCTCAGGAAATGCTCGGACCTGTCCAAGTAAGGTTCAACGTTGTTTATCATGTTTTTATTCATATACCATATAAAATAGATCAAATTAATGTAAGCGGAGATGAATATGTTCAGTGTTTCCTCTTTGTAATGTTTGTTTGTTTAAAACACCGTGCTTACAGGCGATCATATCCTTGGAAGGCAGAGATCTAGGGACACCTAGGGTGTCTAGTGGTTACGACCCGATTCCGTGTTACCCGCGTGGACACTCAAGTGGTTTCGACCTACTTATAATTATATACTGTGTAAATAAGGGGTTCACACTATAAGCACACACAGAACAAACCCCTTAGGTATACACATGGTTTATACTTGTAATGTAGCAGATCGTGTCAATTATTGGTTGTCAACATTGAAGTCAATAGTAAACTTGAGATTGATTTTGAAGAATATAAAATAATTTGCACTGAAATAAATTATAAATAATTTAAAACAAACCTTTTTGAGATTGCTTGTGATAATATACGTAATAATAAATGGTTTAGAAAAATATTATTTAGCAATATTTTTAATAATATAATAGTACGTTAAAAAAAAATCCAAATTAAACCCCCAAAAATGTTTTTAAACTAACGAAATTTTATCTTAATTCGGAACAAATCCACTGTTTACATGCGGGGAACTCTCTAGATTGTTCCTAGTAAATGCACAATGCGAGTTTTTATCTCTTTTGCTACATTACAATGAAAATTATTAGACTAAAATGATAAGAACTTATTATTTGTATCATTACTTCATATAAAGATAGAACTTTTCCGTAAATTACAAAATATCAATTGCGTTATAAAGATATCACATTCTATTTTCTAGGGAAAATACAAAAGATTTAAATGCACAGAGTAGATAAAATTGTATTATTAATGATCGAGCTTTAATTTAAATGTATTTACTATATTTCCTTAATTTTGTATTTTTCAAAAATATATTTTTTGATCAGTTACGACATATATGGCTTTAATAAATTCAAGCTCCATAGTTGATGACTAGAATTGCATTGAGAGCATCATTACTAAAGCTATGTCATTTGATTGGTAAAATGTGAAGTAATTTATGAATTTTTAAAATCAATAAGGTTTTATAAATATATGAAAGAGTTCATAATTTAAAGGGTTAAGTAAGTCAAACAATAAAAAAATAGTTGTTTTATGTACTCTGACTGAGCTGTCAAAATCTCCCTTACACAATAATTTTTGTCAGCACTTATATTTTTTTTTCTCGTTTCCATAGTATAATTTCTATAGGATGCTTTTTGATTGAAATTTTCATGGCAGATCTAGTGGTGAGTGTGTGTGTTCCCATGGACATTGCAGAATTATTAAATGTACATACTTAACCTAGCAGTACAATTATTCTCTGCCATCCTTGGACTTTTAGTAAGACGTAGTATTCTCGGCACTAGTGTCTTTCAAATGGCAAATAAATTTTCATTGGTTAAAAAATTAATAACATCAGGTACTTTTAATCATTGTTGACAATCATTAGACAACTTACGGGTAATCTTACTTTCTTAAATGTCCTGAATTTTTATCCCGGCCACATATATAATTTCAACGATGAATGAAAGCTGTGTAAATTTTAGAGGCTAAAATACATAACATCAAGAAATCCCGCCTTATTGAAAGTCCTAAGATAACTGTGAATTCTACTAAAAGTGACCTTGGATGGCAGGACCCCTCCTTGGAAAAACTGATCTATGCAAAATTGGTATGAAAAGTCATTGGTATGATGCTTTAAAAGTCAACAACTCCCTGAGTAAATAGAATGTTCTATGTTAAAGTGATATTTTGATATGGATCCAGTGAGCATTTGTTCCATGAGTTTTGACACAGATTCTCGAACCTGAAATTGTCTGAGCTGATGAACATCATTATAGGTACTGAATATTTAATTTGTATGTATACTTGTATATTAAAAGTACCTGAGGAATAATACATGCATTATGAACTTGGTTTAGTTTAAAAAAAAACTCTCTTCTGTTGCTCTGTGCCTAAAATAAAAACATTTAATCAAGACATCCAAGATGGTTCAATTTGACTTGTATTGGAGTTTAGGCAGTTCAATTATACTTCTTTAAAATTGTATTCTAATAATGAAATTAAAAAAAAAAGATTTTTTTCTTCTCCAGCTTTTTATCATCCTACATGACACAGCACAAAGTCCTAACTCATAAGTTTGGGAAGGACTCTTCATTCATTTGGGGGAAAATGGTTTGATACAAGTTTTGCATGCTGGTCCAATACATTATCTGGCTTTTTGGAACTGTGTTGCTTAGTGCATATTGATGTTAAAGTAGATAAATGTGTAGGTGTATAATATTATTAAGCTCAATATGATATCAAAAACTATTTATGTAGGAAAAGAAAGAACTGAATAATCACTGGGAAAGTTATGCTTTTTTTTTTTAAACAAGTATATTGATAAACCAAGTTTAACATCAACAAAAAAAAAACTTATATAATTGTCTCCCCTTTCACTGAAAGTGGGGATACTAAATTTAGGTCTGTGCATCTGTCCGTGTGTCTTTCTGTCTGTCTGTAACACTTTCAAGAAGCCTTTGCATTGAAATTTTACACAGCAACTCTCTGTGGCTCGAGGGAGACCCTTATTGATTTTGTGATCAAAGGGTCAAGGTAATTATGCAATAAATTCTGTATGTTGGAAAATTGATTTGAAAAAAAAAAACACTGTCATAACTTTTATGAGACAGTATTAATAATTTTTCATTCAAATAAAAAGCTACAATCTTGACATAAATCCATAAAATCTAAACTGAAACTGGTTATCTTTGTTTTTAATGATTAATGCATGATTAAACCACGCAGGAACAACCTATTGTATAATTATAACATTGTAAGCACTCT